AGCTTAATTTTCTCCTGTCTTTTTTGGCCACCGCTTCAGTCTGTTGGCTCCTATTGAGCATGTGGACATTTTCTTGGATGTATTAATTAAATATGTGCAAATACATGAGCGCTCCCAGATGGAGGAAAAAAGTGTAGACAGCTGGAAGCTTGCACTCACAGGCAAGTGTGTAGGGAAGGTAAAGGAGATGGAAAGCCCACATTCAGGGAGCCAGGATAATGGGGAATCACATTTAGCCAAACAGCAGGCAGGAGGTGCCAAATGATCTTTCTTGTTACCTCAGCCAAGTGCTCGTTGAAAGTAGGTGTACTACGGAAAGAGTGTGGGTATTAGAGTCAGTTGCCCAACCCTGCCGTTGATGAGCTGTGTGATCTTAGAAACCTTATTTTACTTTTCTGTGGCTCAGCTTTCCTAGTCGTAAAATAAGTAAAATGATAGCTACCTTTCAGGATTGTTGGGAGAATTAAATGATTTTATTAAATGTTATAATGTGTGTAAAGTATCTAGAACAGTGTCTGTGTATCTAGAACAATGTCTATATAAATAATGGTAACTATCATTTCATACAGAACTTTATCAAATGGCTGTTTGCTTTCCTACCTATTGTGAGTGATAGGAGTGATAGTCATTTGATTATTGGATGCACAGCTATTTTCTCAGGCTTTGTCCCTCCCTAGACGTTGTGGTGGCAGATAGGGATGGACTAATTCTGGACCCTTCTATCTATGTACTACCTGAGTGTCACCCTCTGGGAGGATTCCGTGAGCTTGTGGCCCCTCTGACTATGCTATCCGAAATGTATTTTGCTTGGACTTCCTTTTTCTCTTTCTTTTTTCTGCAAATAAGTATACCATTTTACTTGGAGGACTGCTTGCTTTCATACATGTATCTTACTATTGGAAGCAATGGGGAAATTGTGAATCAGCTCATACTGGAACCTCAAGGTTAAGAATAACTTATGGAAATGCCTTCTACTCTTAGGAAACTGGCTAATATACAGCATGTAAAAGTTAGAACTGTAGCATCTTTAAGACATAACTTGAAATTATTTATTTGTGGGAGTTATGATATTCTCTGATCTTTTATATTGGCAGGAATATTCCGAAAATAGGTAAGATTTTCCTGTGGGGAAAACTATAACAGAAACAAACTTTACAGTGAATTATTTCTGAATAAAAAGCATTTTAAACATTTGACTTAGTTTAAGTCATTGAGTCCTGGAAAGTTTTACACAGACATTTATATTTTCCTTTGAAATAAAATTCATTTGCTCATTGTGAATATAGCCTTTTGAGTTAAACAGATGCGTTAGCAAATCAGTAGATCGGGATAATCCCTTTTAATTTTGTTTCTCTCCCTACTCTGCAGTGGGAGATTTTGCTTTCTTTCTGGTGCTTCGACTGCTTTAAAAACAGTAGCTTGTATACTAATGAATTGTGTGCATTTCATTAAAGACTGAATAGAGTTCTTTTATAGATGAAAACATGAAACAACTTTTAAACTGTGGAATGTGATGGTCAGTCATTTTTGTATTTGTTATTTTAAATGATTTCTGGTTGCATCACTAATTGCATGGTGGTCCTTGTATCAGTTCGCTGGTCTGATTTCCTAAGCTCTGCCTTTCTATCTCCATGCCCTAGTTCATATTATTCTTTTCGTGGGGAATGGCCTCTCTCATCCACTTGTTTGTTCAAATTTCTCTCATCCACTTGTTTGCTCAAATTGTATTCCTCCTCCAAGGCCCTGCTCAGTTATTTCCATTATGTAGCTTTCCCTAAACACCAGACTAGAAACTATTTTTTTCTACTCTAAACCCCTAAAATCATAGTTTTGGGGTACTACTCCCACAGCACTTTGCACATTTCTGTCTTGAGTTTTATAATGACTTTTATAAGTCATTTTTTTTTTCTAACTCTAAGTTCCTGGAGAGAAAGAATTAAGTTTTCTCAATCATTTTATCTCACATAGTATCTTGCACAATAGGAAGAGCTCAACATATATTTATTACAACAAATCAGTTTTAACTTACTCAATGTAACAAATTAGTTTAACAGGCAGTTAGTTAGTCTTAGAGATGCCATCTAAAGAATAATGAGCAGAACAAAATAACATTCTGAAGAGAACTACCACTTTCATGGGAAATGAAGCCAGATTTGGAAAAAAGTAAATAGTTCTTTTGCTGATGGCATTTTAAGCTGTTTCCAGCTCTTTGGCCAATGAATCTGCAAAAAGGGGCTGAATGAAAAGAATTATTGTCCTATTTCAGGGACAAGGCCCTTATTCTTTCTCTTCCAAGCATTCTGGCCCAGATGGAGTCATCAGTGGAATGAATTTAAGGGACACTAAAACATGTCACTCTTTAGGCTAAAATGATTTCTTCTATTAGTCTTCTAATCCTTACCATTATGATAGAATATGTTCAGAAACCCTCCTTATAAAAGATCAAACGTTACTCAGAAGCAATAAGAAAAAGGCCCGGGCATCGGGGGTCTACCAGTATCACACCTGCTGGGGCAGGTCCTGAAGCAGGGCAGGATTTCGGCCAGGCTGTGGGGTGGCCCATCTGTGTCAGAGTTCTATAGCAGAGATGTTTAAGGAGCCAGGGACTATGGGAAAAGGACAAAGGCACCCACCACAGACAGAAACCCAGAGTAATCAAAAGTAAAGTTGTCTCCTCTACAGTTTCCCCTAGGGTTAGTCCAGAGTTTGGCTCATGATAAGGATCTTCACTCAGAAATTCAGCTTACCTTTATGTCAGTTTGATTTTTCCTCCCAGATGATGTGTAAACATACTTAAAAATATAATACCCACGTTTCTCATGGTGGCCTTTGTACGTTATCTACAAAAACATAACATTGTATTAAGATGTGTTTATATCTTATTATGTTGTCTGGCTCTCTTTTTTATTGTATGAGATATTCTTTAACTTAAGGGAAGTCAAATTCTACCTCTGACAAATGGTGGTGCTTCTTAATAACCACAGGAGAGTGCCTGTCAGCCAGCTCCTAAAGATAAACCTTGTCCCTTTCTTTTCTACATGTCTGTGAATCTGTTTTCTCCAAGGATGGCTATCAACGGCTCTCTCTCCCAGGGTGTATTAATTTTATTACCAGTTTCAATGGAAATGGAGCATGTGGAAATATTTTCAGGTGGGAGGGGCTGTAAGGATTAGGAGAAATGCAGATTTTACAATATTCATGTCTGATGTCAAATTGGAAAGACTCACAGCGTGAACATTCAGACTCTAACATTTGCCCTTTTTGCCTTTGTAATTTTCAGCTGAGGTAAAGAACAGAAGATTGTTAGGTTCTAGAACAGAATTTTCTGAGACTGCCAGGAGAAACCATGGTAGGCTGCAATTTGGTGACATGAAAAGCTGAGGATACTTGTTTAACTTTCTGCATGCATATGGAAAACTAACTCCATGTAAACAGAATTCCACATTAAGATTGGTTAACTCCCTTCCCTTTGTTTACTCCCCTATTTGTTGTTTTGTTCTCATGTACATGTGTGGGAAAATAGTTCGCTAATAATACCCCAGGATTTTTACTCACTTCTCCCTCTGAAGAAAGAAATCACAGTGAAGAGATACAAATCTCCATTCAGAATGTTTCTTTTTTCTATCAAATATTGTCTGAATTAAGTGCCAAAATTATGTTGTGTAATTTTGCAATTCCATTCTAAGCGCACAGGAATATTTTAACAGTTAAAAATTTCCTCTCATGAGTTTTTTTTTTCTTTGCAGAGTTGAAATAGATTTATTTGAGAAGAATAATTCTGTTTACCCTCTGTTCTTCCACACAGTCTTCCTTAGTTTTCTCAGTCTGTGGCTGCAATGTCTGGAAGGAAACAAGAAATAAAACTTGACCAAACATTCATTCTTTCGTCCATTTCTGCCAACAATAAATGTCCCATTTATTTTTTCTCTTACTGGGTTGTATTATGCAATGTGAAAAATCATTCCAACCAAAGAAGATGGATACATTACATTAATATTTGTTTTAGTCTTACAAAAGAGGGTGCCAGCATTCCTCCACCAGAGGGAGACAATGCCATCCCCATTAGAACCATACTCAAGCACAGGAGAATTGTCAAGTAGGGGAGGGGTGTCACTCCAGATGTGGAAGCGTGGATGTTGCTGTTATCAACTGAAAAATAAGTTTTCACTGGCACACTGGGAGTTGTTTAGTATCAGTGAACCAAAATCAGAGTCCAGTGATGTGGAGTATACGTGTGCATAGATTGCATAAGCTTAGTGATTGCTATGCGAGCAAAGAGATGATGCTGCTGGTGGTCCAGCAAAAGTAAAACAATAGCCATGTACATAAGGGGTAGGACCACATCCAAGGATGGGACTTCGTTGTTGCCAGTCACCTGAGCAGAGATTTCTGTCTGGGAAAGGAAAATGGAGTGGCCTACGGATCAGGACAAATACTTCCTTGTGATCTGACATAGACATGTCCAAAGATCTTGAGAGTACCTGGGGTGAGAGGTAGCTATTGAGGTGGAGAAAGGCCAGAAACTAGGAAGGAATAGATCCAGGCAGTGTATTCCAGGCTTTTGGTGTCACAGGAGAGCATGCAGAAGAAAACCTGAGAATTTTGGAGCAAGCTTGCTGTGGAAGAGCAGACATAACAATATTCCCAGTATTTTAATTTTCTTATTAATTTTTGAAACTCCTAGGGTATCTCAGATTTGGGAAAAGGAACCAATGGGTGGGACTGGTTTGTGTTTAAATGCATGTGCTAAAGTGGAAACAGGCATCATGGTGGTATTTCAGTCATAGAAGAGACAGAAGCCCTCAAGGGAAAGGTGAAATAAAAAGATCTTATCCACCCAGACAGCAGTCTTCCTGAATAAACCTTAACGTTCTGTATTTTTCTACAATAAAATACAGGCAATTATACTTTCAGATATTGTACTTCTGTTCTCTCATGAATGACCTCTACAAACTACATTTCCCAAGCAACTTTGCCATCTGGCTTCAGTCCGGGTTTGGCCTATGGGAGGCCTAGCCTGAGGTTGGAAGGTAGAAGGACAGAGCGGCCAAGGTATGTCTTCTCCTGCTTTCTCTGTTTGGGGCTGCATCTCTGGGATTGGACACATCTCTTTTGTGGTCCTGCCTCTGCCGGGGCCCCTCCTCCCACTCAGGGCACTGAGAACACCACCTCCTTCCTTGTTTCTTCAGCCCAAGGGGTGGTAGTAATTTTAATCTTTGGGTTGTCTCACTACCCATGATTTGCTTTCTGTTTGTCTTTTACTTTATAACAGTTCTCCAAAAAAAATCCCTCTACTGAACTCCCTGTCATGAGAGTTTTATTTTATTTTTATTTTATTTTCCTGACTGGACCCTGACTGATACATTTGTCTTAGAAATAAACTCAAAACTTTAGTAAAAGTGCCCTATTGGCTTGGCTCCAAGGCCTAACATTCCATTAAATCCTAGAAACAAAATAGTTTGTTAATAACACCTTATATTTACATAGCACTTTACAGTTTGTAAACTGCCTTTGTATACCTAATCTCATCTGATTCCCCTGTGAGATAGCCAGTAGAAGAAATAAAATTACCTACACTTAAACAGCCGGTAGAAGTTGTAGAAGTAAAGGAGATATTTTAACCAAATCCTTTGTCTCGAAGTCCCAGGTTTAAAATAATAAAATTCTAAATGGTCTGCTCTCTGCCAAAAAACCATATTTAATAATAAGAGGAAATGTTTCTGAAGTTTACATTAAGAACCTTCAAGGCATATTTTATAATTCCATCCATTATGGACTTTTTTTTAACACTGGTTTTTTTTATTCTCTTATGCATGTAAATTTAGATCACTGCCTCATTTCTCAAAACCCTCAAAACAGTGAAAATAATTCTGCATATGGGGCTGTAGGAAAGAGAAAACATAAAAATGAGATGGGTAGATACTAAGCAAGAGAAAAAAAACGGTGGTTTGGGGTATTCAGCATCTTCTCATAGAAAACACACACCTATGAATTAAAAGCATACATGGCAGTATAGAGCACCTCAAAAAAGTTTGCAATAATAAGTCATGAACTTACAACAAAGTAACTTATAATGAAGTCTTTGTAGTCTAACTGCATGTTGATGAATAGTAATTGAATTGCATGGCCCCATACCCATCTTTTGTTTTCTTCCACTTCCAAATTTTGTTTTTGAAGGAAATCAGAATGTCACCTCCAAAATACATTTCTTTGACATAAAAATTATCTTGAGCTGAAGGCAATTTAGTCGTAAATGCAGAAAAAGTTCCCCCTTTTCTGCCTACAGGCAGGAAACAAAGTCTCCTGTTACTGGGGACCAGTTCTCATCAGTTCAGGGAAGACATGGGAGGAATCCACAAATTTTGTTAAACTAACCCTAATCTTCCTCATTAAGGAATTTAAGGACTATCTGGACCTAGTTGGATTACCTTCAGCCCAAATCCCTTTGTCTTATCAATTTTTCACAAATTTATTGTTTCTTTGTCTGAAAGGTATAAAAGCTTCCTGCTTTGGTCACCTTTTTGGGTCTTCATTCTCTTGTGACAGCTCCCATGCACATGTAGAAATTTAATAACATTTGCATGCTTTTCTCCTGTTGATCTGTTGAATCAGTTTAATTTTCTGACAGAGCCATGAACCCAAAGAAGGTTGAGGAAAACTTTTTTTCTCCTACAGTTTGAATTTTGATTATAATTCCAAAACAGATATAAGTGACTCAATATATTCTAATTTCTGATACCACAATCTATTAATAAATAATTTAGGTAATTGCTCAAATGGAATCTATCTGGGAGAAAACATCACATTTAGCCACTCATAATTCCAAATTTTGTCTCTATGTCCTTGCTGAGCCTTTTTCATCTGAAATATGCATCCCTCCCTTCTGCCCCTGCACCCACGTTGCAGTTTTGCCACGTTTGAGTGTGGCCCTATAATGGAGAAGGCATTGTCTCCCTCTAAGGGGGAATGCCGGCACCTTTTCTTGACCGGTGGTCACTGGATTGATATTGACATAACATTTACTGGAAAATGGTCAGAAGATGCCACTCCAGCTGTTCCTTGGAATGTGTTGCTCAAAATAAATTCATCCTCAGCTGGTGGGATTGAGCTGGGTCAGCAGAACCAATCAACCCCTGTCATGCCTAAGCACATGCCTCTGTGGTTGTGATTGAGCTGAGTTGTGTGATTTGGGCCGGGCAGATGTCTATTTTAAGCAGTATGGCCCACCACAGGGCTGTCAAAGGATATGCGCTAAGAGGGGCCATGCTTTCTCCAACTTCTGCTGTCCTCACTGGATGGCATGGTTCATGCTCATCACTGGATTACCCAACTGGTCACTCACTGGCTCAGGACCTATATTTAAGTACTTCTGGCAACAGAATGACTACTTGTTTCCATGCTCTCCAACTGAAATTGTTGTTCTGAAAAGCTAGGTTGCTTTTCAGACATTATCTAATTAGCACTGTGTCTGCACTGCAGAAAATATCGGTAACACTCAGCATTCTCACAAGATAATTTAGTCACATCTTGAGTACTCATCCAGGTGAATCAGAGGGAAGAAAAGACACAAAAAGAAATTGCAGCTCAATTTATGTTAGGCTTAGGGGTCTTTCTTCCCATCTTTAGCCTTGCTGATGAAGAGAAAATCATTAGCAGGATTTCAGTGTTGGGGGGGGCTGTTTACAAGAATTACAGAAAAGGTCTGGTTTCTTTCCATTGCCACTGTATTTACAAAATCTATTTGGTCAGCCTTAAAACAGTCAAGTCAAATTTTTTTCAGTTTTTAGTAAAATATCGAGAAGTTCTTTAGATGTGTTATAATTTGGGTCTCTGAGCATTTACTCATTAACATTAGCTGATTTGAAACACTGTGGCTGGCTATTAGTTTTCTCAAAAATACTCTTTTTGGCATTTCCTAAAAGGCCACATGTTGACATCTTATAATTCAGCACACGTTTCTTGAGGTACTCCTTGGTGATAGACATTTGTGTCAAGTGCTGGATGCTTTCTTTTTGTTTGGTACTTTATTGCAGCTGAGGAAGGTAAGGGTTACTAATTTAAAAAAAAAAAAACAAAACATTTGCTTAGAAAAATAAAGAGACAGAAGATAATACGATGCATAACTGAATTTTAAATGCTTACTGATGCTGCCCAGGTCACGCTGAAAAGAAGCAGTCCCAAACAGACAATTTGCATCTTTGAGACTCTCTGCAAAAAGGTAATAATATTTTACCCTAAAGCATTGCCAATTACAAACTGTAGTCCTAAGAATAAATAAAACACAAAAGTATATATAAACATCCTTCTCCCAGTAGTCCATTTTCTTGTTTTAAAAAAAATCATTTATATCCAAGTATAGATACTTTAACCCAAGAGCCTTCATATGTCTAATTATTCTAATGTAAAAGTGAAAATTGTCCAATATTATTAAAACAATGAAATCAGTTGATAGAAATGACTTTTATAGATACATTTACTTGCTCTATTGTCAGCTGAAACTTTTCCCTTTTGTTTTTAGAGATCATTTAATTTGATTATTTGTATAATTCATAATAATATGACGTTAGTTGTAACAACTCTACATGGGTGCCAGCAAAGCAGGCTTTACTGTGAGGAATAAAATTTTGTCTGCTACCAGGATGGCCCCCTAATATACGTCCTTAAATTCATCAGCAATTTATCTGAGCTAGTAGCCATCTCTGGGCTGAAGAGTGAAATAATTTATGTAATCCTTATATTAATAACTAAAATTTATTGAATACTAAAATGAGCCAACCACTGTTCTGAAAATTTTACATATATTCAATTATTGAGCCTCACAACACCCTATGAGTTAGATGGTATTACCACTCCTGTTTTAGAATAGGAATTAGACAGAAAGTCAAATAACTTGCCCTAGAATTCCCAGGTATTGAGAGAGGCAGAACTGGGATTCGTATCTAAACAATGTAACTACAGAGCCAGTAGTCTTAATGAAGACTCTATACTATTTTGAATAAGTTTTTATTCTTTCATCTTATTACAAAAAAATCTACATGTAGTTGATTTAAAGGCAAAAAATATTTTATATTGAGCTCAACAAAATTAAGTTTAAACATTAACATTTAGTTATGGATAAAGGCACATGTTTATACTCTGGTGAATATACTAAGAGTATCTAGTGAGCTCATTTAAGTCAAGTAGCCATTATTGAAAAAAAATGTCAATATAACTGTGAATTACTAAGCTGTTGGTTTTGATGAATATTAAGTATTTTTCTGACTACCACACAGACACAGAGACCAATATGAGAATAAAATATTTATACCACTCTTTGAGATTATTTGGGGAAAACACTTTTGATGGGTATAATAATCTAAATACTGTTGCAATCTTTAAACATTTCAAGGTAAAAATTTTTTTTTGAAGAAATAATGTAACTATTAAATATATTCTATAACTCTAGGCTATTCTCATCTAAACAATATAATTTTCAGGATCTTAATTCTAACTATAATTTAGCCATCCAAGTATTTTAGAGAGCAGGACAATACAAGTCATCAAATGACTTAATGCTGATCAATAGAAATATCTGCACAGATGAGGTTTAAAACTATGAATATGATCACATTATCCTTATTCTGGTTTGTAAGTGAAGGTGTAGAGTAAAATTAGAACCTTTGGATTATGGTGGATCTTGATAATGCTAACACCTAAATCAAAGAGGAAGTTGCTACCAGGCTATCAATTTTAGTTGATAATTTCCAGAACTTGGTAACATATTTTATATTTTATAAACTAAAGCACTAAATATTACACAGTTGTGCTGAGTAGAGAATACTTTCAATATTTTCAAAAGCATTTATTTTCAAAAGCAATCTCCCTAACTGGATGGCATATATCTTGAAAATGTAAACTACATTATAAAGCTATTTGCTATCAAGAATATCAAGAGAGCCAAATTACCTGATATCTTTTACCTTCAGAATACCTGGCTTCTTCCACAGGATTAGCAGTCTCCGGGCAAATTTTGCTGAAATTTAAAGTTTGTTAGAGTTCCCAATGGCCAATCAGCATAGACTCACTTAGCACCAGCAAACAATTTGTTACCAGTGCCCACAGATAACCATAGGGGGCAAAGTAATTTTAATCTAAAAATGTTTTTGTGGTGAAAAGCTGCTATCAAATGTTCCCGAAAGTAGGATAAACAGAAAATATAAATACCTCAGTTTGGTGTATGATGTTGCCAGATAATTAAAATTGATTTCAGAACTATTAATTAGGACTCTCTGAATAACTAACAAGTTTGTAAGTGGAAAACATTTTAGCTATCCTTTTGTGTAGAAAGTTTATAATTTCAGTTTTCTCTGTATTAAATTCAGCAACATTTAACAAAAATGTATTGGGTACCTACTATGTGAGAGACACTGGGGAAATAGCGGTAAGCAAAACAGACAGAAAAAAAAAATCCCGGTATTCATGGAGTTTATAATCTGGTGCGGAGACTGACAATAAACAAAATAAATAAGTAAAATATATTGTGTAGATAGTGACACAAACTAAGCCTAAGAAGAAAAGTATTACAAGGAGAGGGGATGACAAGAACTGGGGGTGGGGACATGGGGACACTGAGTTGTAATACTAGATAGGGTCCTGGGAAGACCTCACTGAGAAAGTGACTTTTGAGCCCTGTAAATACATGGCATCTAGGGGAAGAGCATTCTAGGCAGAAGGAAGAGGAAGAGGAGAGCCCCAGAGACAAGAGCCTGCTGACGTGTTCCAGAAACAGAGAAGAAGACATTTTGACTGGAAAGACTGAATGAAGTGAATAGCAGGAAATGAGGTCAAAAAGGTAGTAGATGGCAGATGACATAGGGCCTATAGATCATTGCAAGGCTCTTGACTTTACCCTGAGTGAGAAGAAACCCTTGGAGGTTTTAGGCAGAGCAGTAACTACAGAGTAACTGAGATAGGAAAAGGCAGACATGGGCTAGGAAGCTCTCGAGGTAATCCAGGCAAACGATGATTAGGAATCAGAGTGATGGCAGAAGGGACTGGGGGAACTGGTCAAGTTCTGGATATATTTTAAAAGTAAAGCCAATAGGATTCGCTGACATACCAGATGTGGAGTGTGAGAGAAAATCAAGAATCAAGGGTGACTCCAAAGTTTTTTGCTCTGAGCAACCGGAAGAATGAAGTTGCCTTTTATGGATATGGGGGAAACTGCAGAAGAAGTGGTTTTGGGAGAAACATTGAGAGTTTGGGTTTGGAAATGAATGTTACAGAATGGTCAATTTAGGACATTGACTTCCTCAGTGAAACAAGAGAACACCCATATTAGAATAAGCCTTTCTGGGGCAATTGCCTGCTCTCTCCTCTTTTGCCCAGTCTGTGTGCCAAAATAATGATTGCAATAGTTCAGGTTAAAAATATTACACTGCCTGGAGGGATAATTTACATTAGAACTATATGTGAAGCATCATTGTACAATAATGTAAGAATTATTTAACCCAATGGTTAAATGGTAAGAATTATCTTTGGTTAAACACAATTTTAACAAACTATAAATGATATACAATGAGATTTAAATGTAAACTCCCAATTCTCCTAACTTCCAAAACAGACAAAAACCAAAATAAAACAAACAAAACAGCCCTTGGGCAGCTTTAGCTGAGAGAATGGCATCTTTTTTGTTTAGGCTGAATCCCTGTTTTTGCTTTGTCCAAATTCTGCAGATCCTTTTTGAGTAACTGGAGCTGGTTTTTAAAACACTTGCCAGGACTAGAGTTTGAGCTGTTGGGCTGGAAGTACTGTTGATTCACTGTTCAACCCTGGATTTTAGAATGTTTGAGTGTTATCATTGACAATGGAGACATTTAAATCTAGTAGCTTTGGAGTCAAACAGACCTGAGTTCAAATACTGACTCTACCACTTGTTTGTTGTGGTCAGTTGCCGAAGCAACTAAATGGAATCTCTTTGAGCCTCCATTTCTTCATCTGAAAATGAGGAGCATAGTAATAAGTTAAACTTTCATTGAATGATTACTTTGCGTGAGCATTTTCCTTAAAGACATTTTCACCACATAAGGAATTGGCTGTATGACAGTTTTGTCATAAAAGATAAAAAAAATAACTGGTTGACAGTTTGGCTTAACAGTTTGGTTTGATTTCTCCATTGACACATTACTCCCATTTTTATATTATATAAACCTTACCCTCATAATGGTCTATACGATAGTGCAGAGTTTTGAACCTACATTTCCCATAGAACTTAACAGACTACCACTGAACATGTGACAATATGCCAAGAACAAACAACAGTGTAGAAGGCTTTCACAAGGGGACACAAAGCTCAGTTACAAATATGCATCCTAGTATTTGGAAATTGATACTTCTCTGTGTCTCTTTTTATTTTAAGATTTATTTATTTATTTGAAAGAGAGAGAGAGCAGGAGCGCATGCACATGGGCGAACACAAAGGGGAGGGTGGAGGAGGAGGGAGAGAGAATCTCAGCCAGACTCCCTCCTGAGCATGGAGTTGGTGGTGGTTGGGGGGTGCTCCATCTCACACCCTGAGAACATGACCTGCACCAAAATCAAGACTCAGATGCTTCATGTGATATGTTGCATTGAAGTGCTGGTTTTCAAATCACTAGTTTCTGATGTGAAAAAAAAATCTGGGGCGCCTGGGTGGCTCAGTTGGTTAAGCGACTGCCTTCGGCTCAGGTCATGATCCTGGAGTCCCTGGATCCAGTCCCGCATCGGGCTCCCTGCTCAGCAGGGAGTCTGCTTCTCCCTCTGACCCTCCCCCCTCTCATGTGCTCTCTCTCTATCTCATTCTCTCTCAAATAAATAAATAAAATCTTTAAAAAAAAATCTGAGTATTTTCTGAAAAAAAATTTTTTGTGAATACCATTTTCTCATTTAGAAAAATAAAAACTTAAAAAAATAAAATCTTTAAGGGAACACAATTATCAGTATTGTGATTACACTTATGATTTACTTAAATCAATTTTTTTTACAGTTGATTGGGTGCTTATTGAGTGTTCTATGTTTAGTATTACAAACATGTATCTATCAGTTTTGTTACAGCAGTACTTCATAATAAACCACTCCAAACTCAAACTCAAAAAAAAAAAAGACTAGGATGCTTACGGACTGAGCCACCCAGCTCCCCCTTAAACTTCTCTTAATGAAGGAAGAAATTTTAGTGAAAAAAGAAAAAGTGTAATGCCAATG